TCCCCCAAACACACAGGGTTGCCATAGCGCCGCCCCCACTCAGTCCAGGCATCCCCGCTACCTCCCCCTCCGCACTCCGGGACACATGAAGTCCACTCTCACACAAAGACGGGGACCCGGGGATTCCGGATTCGGCGTCACCCCGCTGACTCACCCTCACAGGCCTTCAGCTACTGACAAGAGGCCTCCGTTGGAGACAAGCCCGGGCCCAGCCCCCGCCGCTTCGGAGGCCGATCCCTGCCTTTCCTCTGGTGCTGCAGAAGCCTCGCACAGGCCGCCTCTCTCTCTGCTCGGGTCCCGAGCCCCCCCCCACCGGGGCCCTGCGAACATCCACAGCCCTCCCCTGGACGCACTTCCTGAAGCCTTCAGTCGCAGAGCACGTGACCGGGGGCTCCTGGGGGTCACGTGACGCGGGTGGAGAGAACACAGGACTCCGTCTCCTGGTCACGTGAGGGCCTTACGTCACCTCAGCTCGGCGTTAGATGGTCTTCAAGAAAATGGCGCCCTGTTTGGAGACACATTTTAAACAAAACAAATTGATCTCTGCTTTTCACCGGCGTTTATTTTGGAATCAAAACTGGAGCACACAAAATCTGGAGCAGTTGCTCGTACAAACCAATCAGCGTCTCTTTTCAGTTTGTACATTTAAGCTTTGAAAATGGAACAGTAAAGCTAATTGGTTGCCATGGGAACTGCTCCAGATTTTGTCTGCTCCGGTTTTGATACCTCCAACTCTATTATTACAGAGGACAACAAGTGCTTCCTCATTGGGAAGTTTTTGACAGATTCTTTTCTGCCTCCATTATGTAGACCGTGATGCCATCCCATTGGCCCATTGGATAGTGATGGGAATAGTTACAATAATGTATCAATTTATTTTATGTGCCATCTGTGCACAATTAGGCAGACTTCCCTTCACTTCCTGCCCTATAGACACAACAGAAAGTGAGAGAAAATCACTGCAAAGTGAGCAAAAGTTCATCCTAGTAACTAGTATGATCTCTAGGACGTAGGTCATGGGAGAGTTTTTTTCAGCGGAATCATCAATTTCACCTACAGCATAATGCAAACAGAGCTGAAAGCGGGTGGCTTGGTGGTCAGTGCTCTTACCTTATAGCACTGAGGTCCTTAGTATTCTTGCCGGGATTTGAACTATCTGCATGGAGTTTGCATGTTCTTCCTGTGCTTGTGTAGGTTTCCTCCCAGCCTCCAAAGAGATGCTTGTAGGAGACTTGGACATAGCAACATAGCATGTGAAGTGATACAGCCCTTTGCTTTCCTTGACATACCTTGTAGGGGTTAATAAGGGTTGCCACCTGTCCTGGATTCACCTGGACAGTCCGGGTTTTGAGTCCTGTATGTGCTGTTTCCGGGTTCCAGGCCAGCTGAAAACCAGATGCAGAACAGACAGGACTCAAAACCCGGACTGTCCAGTTGAATCCGGGACAGGTGGCAACCCTAGGGTTAATGCAGTGCCTTTTTTTCTTTTTAACAGGTCCGCGATCCTTAAAAGAAGCTTGTGGTACACAGGGTGTGTGTAATGTGCCTGTCCCCTCCCCCTTGCACTTTTTGCCCGACCCTCAACCCCGACGCTGGGTGTGGCTGCATAAATATAGTACCTGTTAGTCTATGTTCACACCTTTACACTGTGTAAACCTGCGTGTTGGGTCGCTGCGGTGCCGTTCATTCTTAATAGCACCCCCAATGCGCAGGCATTTCGGATAAATAAATGCCAAACAAGCCTTAAAATTGTGCGAAAATTATGGTACCCAAAGTTGCCCAAATGTGACATTTTAAAAGCCTTTAGCGTTAACAGTGAGTGATGGTCCTAGAATGATTCCTCTCACTTGCGGTGATATGTAACTTGTGTGGCGCAAGTGTCGCTTTCACATCCAACATGCATTTGTTTGTACATTTTTTTTTTTTAATTTAACTTTATTGCTATAGGGGGTTCGCGACTAACAAAACAGAAGAGGTACTGTGCAGAGTCCATACATACAGCATATGAACATATACTGAGAATGACACCCAGCATACAGGACAAGTTACGTGCTACTGTGAAGCATTCATACATATAGAAATTACACACGGCATGGAGAACAAGAAGTGTTACTGTGCAAGGTCCATACATACAGAATAAGAACAGATACTGAGAATGACACCCGGCATACAGGACAAGAGAAGTGGTACTGTGCAGAGTCCATACATACAGAATAAGAACAGATACTGAGAATGACACCCGGCATACAGGACAAGAGAAGTAGTACTGTGCGGAGTCCATACATATAGGATAAGAACAGATACTGAGAATGACACCCGGCATACAGGACAAGAGAAGTAGTACTGTGCGGATTTCATACACAAGGAATAGGAAACGAGCTGAAAGTTATATTCAGAGATTTTATCGGTTCCGTTGTCGCAGTCTATATACAGATATTATCATTTAATCTTGGAGCCCATGAAAGGAACAGTCACTGGGATTTTATCGAAATGTGGTTTATTAAAAGCGTATTCATCACATTAATACTGTAACATGGCACTCAGGGAGGAGGTGTTTGGCTGATTCGCTCAGCGTCCTTCACATCCTTATTTAAAAAAAACAAGGACTAGCTTCTTCACTGGCACGTGTTGTAAATCTGGATTTGTTGGTTGATGGCATTGAGGATGTCTTTCATTTTCTCTTCCAGGCCTTCCAGCTGCTTTGCTTTATCTTGAAGAATAATCTCATTTTTCTCATAGGCGACCTCCAGTTCTGGAAGAAGAATCACATTTAGGAGAAGGTTAGCCCCGGTATTCAAAAAACATGTTTGTCATAGACTGTGGGACTGAGTTACTAAAGTGCACCTCTAGGAATTGGTTTACGTTTTGGATAGCATTGGGAAGAGTTAGATCCTCTATCTAGTTTTTATTGGAGAGATTGACCGAAAATTAAATCCAAAGTTTTTAGAGCTGTCCCCAGGACAAGAGGTAAGTGGAGATTCCCCAATGGGGACACCTATTCCAGGGGCAACTGTTTAAAATGGTAAGGAAGGGGCAGGCAAGCTTTAGCACCATCAGGTCTATCTATGTGCCTGAACCTTCTACTAGCAGCAGTTTTGGATTTTTTTTTTCTTACCATCAAGGGCGTAACTAGAAATCACAGGGCCCCATAGCAAAATTTTGTATGGGGCCCTGTGATTTATAGTTATGCCTTTGCAGAGCCCACCTGAGATCCCACACAACCAACCTGAGAGTGACCCTGGAATGCCCGACATAGACTCTCTATGGTGGGCTCTGCAGGGTCTCAGGTGGGTTGGTCAAACCCTCTTACCCCCCGATCCACTGCCCGCCCCCTCCTCCGTCGCCGGGCCCCACCTCCTCTTCCATCACCGGGCCCCACCTCCTCTTCCATCACCGGGCCCCACCTCTTCTTCCGTCATCGGGCCCCGCCTCCTTTTCCATCACCGGGCCCCGCCTCCTCCTCTGCTGCTGACGCCGGGCCCAGCCTCCTCCTCCACGCGCCACTGCACAGATCCCTTACAGTTTGTCAGTGATCTAACAGCGACAAGTTCCTCCTCACACCTGCCAGTGACAGCCAGCAGCCTGAGATGCCATAGCGACCCAGTCAGCCCGCCCGGCATCAGGGGGATGTCCTGGCCGGGCCCCCCTGTGCCCCAGGCCCCATAGCAGTCGCCTGGGCTGCTATGGCGATTGTTACGCCACTGCTTACCATGACAGAGTCTCTTTAAGTAATTGCCAATTGGCTACACCCACTATCCTAAAATAAGAGAACTTATCAGGAAGCTGGGTGGCGGTATCAGGAAGCTGGGTGGCGAGTCATTACATGTCGCCCGGCTTCCTGATTGGCCGGGAAGCCTGCTCCATGCTCCCTCGTCACCAGGGAGCTGGCTTCTCGGCCAATCAGGAAGATAAAGGTGCCTTTGTTGCCATTAAGGGAAGTGTACAGTTCCGCTTTAAGAAGTCTCTACTGCCCTTTTTATATAACAAACTCACAAATGTGGTGCAGTGCCACGTTTTACCAGCAGGAGGTGCTGCAGGCTAAATCTGTATTGACAGCTTGGGGTTCTGGTGCACCCAGGAAGCTGTAGATGGAACTCCCTCTCCATTATTAAACCCAGGACAGAAGCAGGTGAATTAAACGTACCTTGCAGCTTCTTCAGCTTATCCTGAGCGTTGCCTAGAAGCTGCTTTGCTTCATCCCTTAGCTGGTCTGCTTTATTCTTGGCATCCTTTATGTTTTTGGCTTTGTGTTCGACAAAGTTCTTTACCATTTTATATTTATCTCCAAGCTGCCCGTCCAGCACCTTAAAGAAACACAAAGGCTTAGTAAATGCATAAGATCGCCGAGAAAATGATGCAACAGTAGAGTGGAAACACTTAATTGTAGGAGGAACACCTGAAGCTCCAAGGCAGACAGGGACACCATCAGGGACCATGACATGGAGAGCTCAACAGTTGGGATCTATGAAACCTGACGCATGCACATCCTTGTGTATAACTTAAAGGAGAACTATGGGGTTAGGGCTTTTCCCCATAGTTCTCTTTACGGTAACGGGAGGACACAAACTAGCGTCCTCCCGTCATCCTGAGCTCAGTATAACGGGAGCTACAGCTCACGGTATACTGAGACGCCGCAGTTGAAGCAGATCCCGACAATTATGTCTGGATCCGCCCAGCTGCGTGACTGACAGCTGGCTCTGCCTATCTAGAGGCAGAGCCAGCTGTACCCGCCCCGTCCGTTCCGCCAGTCAGCGCTGGCGGATCTGACAGGGGGGGGGGGGAATCCAGCCCCTCCCCTGTCACGGCAGAGGGCTGTGACAGGATCGAGAGGTGAGCAAACGCTGGTATGTGTTCGTTCACCTCCCGATCTACTGAGCCGACCTGTGACAGTCTCATTGTCACAGGTCGGCTAGAACTATGAGGTGAGTGAAAAGCACTCGCCTCATAGTTCTCCTTTAATATCAAGTTTGTAGGGAGTGGCTCTTTCAAAATGTAGATAGTTGACAAGAAGTCTACCAAATCCAACATGATCGGTCAATGGAGTATTTCCATGGCTTCCATGCAGTAGCACATCCTACCTTCTTTGCCTCGTTGGCCTTATCAAGTGCCGCATTAGCTGTCTCCTCTGCTCGAGTTGCTGCCAAGCTGTTCCCTGCCCGCTTGACTTTCAGGGCATCGATTTGCTTATCCAGATCATTCACGCGATCCATAGCCTCGTTCAGGCGATTCTCAGCGCTTGAGGTGTCTAATTGGATCTAAAGTGACCACACAGACGATCCATCCAATTATTATACAGGATTTATATAGCGCCAACAGTTTGCGCAGCGCTTTACAATATAAGGAAGACATTATAATTACAATACAATTCAAGACAAGATGGTAAGGTGGGCCCTGCCCCTGAGGGCTTAAAATCTATAATTAAAAAGAATATACAAGGACAGCCACCAAAGAACAAAGATGAGGTTATTGCGTCCAGTCAGAATTCAGTTTAACTGTTACCGTATGAGGAACATGACTTCTGATTGGTTGTTGGGGTTACTTCACTTTGCTCCTTGTTTAATTCAGTGAGCCCACTAGTTTTATGAGCAAGGAGAGTACAAATCATAGAATAGAAAGGGTTCACCTGTTTATTTTTGGTAGAATGGTTTGTTTGACTGGATATTACACAGATAACCGTTCCTTTGATTGACTGAAATGATGCAAACCATCTGATTCTTTCCATCTTCAAAGGGCCATTGTTATGCTGGGCAAATATGTAACAATTTTCAAGAGATATCAAACCAGCTTATGATGGTTGATAAGGATTAAATGACAGCCTACCATGAACAGGGTTTTTATCAACTCAACTGCCCATTGGTTGATTGAAAACAGTGAATCACTTTACATTGGAACATTGAATCAAAATTAAGGTGACCCCATCAGCATTGGGTCACTTATTTAAAATGCCAGCCCTTCCCGTTGGCCCAAGTCATGAAACAACACCACTTCATTGCCCTATAGTCATGTATAAAAACCTGCTCCGCCAGCTGCAGGCAATGGGTCCTTCCACCAGTTCATACACTACTAGAGGGCGTATGAGCAGGTGGAAAGCACCACTGTCTGTGGTGGGGGAGAATCTGTAACCCACCTGGAAGGGTCAAATACCTTCAGCAGAAGTATAGTGGCAAGTTTTCCAGACATGGACCATCAGAGAGGCAAGTATTAATTAGACATGTGCGATTCGTTTAGTTCCGAATCAAAATTCGTACGGATTTTCCAAAATTCAGACATTCGGACACATCCAAATCCCAATGCATCCAAATGTGTCCGAATCTCTGTTTCTGAATTTAAGATCCCGTCCGAATTATGTTCAGAAACTAAATTGAATCGAACATGTGACTTTTCTGGCCAATCAGATGTGTTTTTCGGTTGAATGCATCCAAATGGGTCTGAATCTGAATTTATATATATATATAATACTAGGGATGCACCGATGCCGGTATTTCGTTATCGAGTACCGATAAAAAAAATGTCGGTACCCGCCGATACCGAATACTGATATTGGAAGTCCCATTCAGGAAGCCAGGTGGCGTGTAATGACTCGCCACTTGGCTTCCTGATTACCCGGGAAGCCGGGCGGCGTGTAAAGACTCGCCACCCTGCTTCTCGATTAGCATGGAAGCCATCCCCATGCTTCTAGTCACTAGATGACGAGAGAGCATGGAGCTGGCTTTCTGGCCAATCAAGAAGCCGGGCGCCTTGTAATGACGCGGAGCCCGGCTTCCTGAATGGCCGGGAAGTCGGATCCATGCACTTCATGAAGGCCGGTTTCCCGGCCAATCACAAAGCCGGGCAGCAAGTCATTGCATTACTGATTGGACGAGAGAGCATGGAGCTGGCTTCCTAATACCGGAAGTATCGGGCTAGGCATCGGAGCATTTGGGCGAGTACTCGTACTCGCTCGAATACTCGGCATCGGCACCGATACCAATACTAGTATCGGTGCATCCCTATATAATACTTAAACTGATGCTCTAAGACCCGAATGAAGACCAGAGTACGAATAGCATTCGAAAGCTCTCGAATGCCATTTGGGTCTGAAAGCCTCAGCTTTAATATAGTTCCCAGACTCGTATTGCTTTCTGAAGCTCCCGAATGGTATTCGGGTCTGGGAGCTTCAGCTTTAGTAATAATATCTGTATATGGTTTTTTGTGGTATTCGCAACAAATATTCGTAAACACATCCGAAACTAACGACAATTCTTATTTCGTCCGAAACCCAAACCGAATTGAATTTTGGATCCGAATCCTGAAATATCCAAACCAAATTTTTCCACAGCTTACATATCCAGTATTAAAGTGACATTAAACCCTCAGATTTTTTAACATAAACTAATACTGTAATGTGTGCCTTGCTGTAATCCATGGTAGTTTCTCTACTCTTTGCTGCTCTTCCTTTTAAATCCTCATGTCTTCTCATGCTGGGGGAGAACTTCCCTTTGCAGCTGAGTGCCTCTTCCTGTAGTGCTGGCTCAGGTTGTGAACCTTCACACAGACACCATGTATCCATTCCAGAGACAAGGCAGTCTGCTGCAAAACAGAAGTTCTGCCCAGCATGAGAACAGATACACATTTAAAAAGGAAGAGCAGCAAAGAGAAGGGAAACAACCATGGATTACAGTAAGGCGCACATTACAGTATTGTTTTATGTTAAAAAATCTGAGGGTTTAATGTCACTGTAATGACCTTCTTTTACACTGCTGGCTTTTTGTACATGCGGTAGATAGTAGGATCACTTTAAGAACACATGATCAGATTTTCATGTCTATGGCCGGCGTTGGAGATATAAATCTATATTCTCGGGTAACTTATTCAATCGAAATAAATTCTTTGTAGAAACCTTCATACAGACGGGAGGCTTACCGCTGTCAGCTTTGTCTCTGTGTCTATAATGTCATCGGTGGCGCTTTGGATGGCCCCCTCGGCAGCACTTTGAGCTTTCTTGGCATCTTCCAAAGCTTTCTTCACAGACTCCGCTGTACTCTTCACATTCTCAGCCCGGATCCTAGAAAATATAATGAGTCTTCCTGATTGGATGGAAATTGAACTAAATGTTTAGGGGAGGCCTTCATACTGCATCTCCGTTGGCAAATTTAAAGGATAATCTACAGATATTCTACATTGACACTGTAATGTGTATGTTCGGCTTCACATTGCATGACCAAGCCAAGTCCATACTTACTTGGCTCGCTTGGCCTCGTTTAGCAGCTGTTCAGCCCTACGAACATCAGTGGCCGTGTGGTCCAAAATGGAGTCAACGTCGGACAGGGCGTTCACCCGATCTTTGATTTCTTCTGCAAGACGCTGGATCTGCTGTGGAGTAGCGGGAATGGAGAGATCCAGGACTCCGCTCGCCACTTTCTCAATGCTGTCCGGGTCCGCTCCTTCCTCTTTTCACACAATACAAAGACATGTGATAATGAAGTAGCGTTCTGTAGCCCAAGCGACTTACATTGTGCATGATTTTAAAGTTAAGTCTGCCTAAGACCAGGAAAGTCAGGAAATCACCAGCACTCAGTAGTAAAGATAAATATGTCCCTTTTATTGGACAGAAAGCATCACAGACATCCAAATAAACCGACGTTTCGGGGCCGCGCAGGGTTCCTTCCTCAAGGTTCCTTAGCAACCTAAGGCCGGGACTGCTGTGAGGAGTGCGGAGGGTCTCGCCATCTACTTACATCTGCCTAAGACCAGACGCCACAAAAACAGCTGCTGTTACCTGTATTACCCACCTAAAAAATATTCTCTGCCCCTCTCTGATTAGGGTTACCAACTTTTCTTCAAGCGAAACCGGAACACTCTAGCGAATATGTTGTAGCTTATTCATATGTAAATAGTGCAGCCCATTCATATGTAAATTACATTTAGTATCACTTTGTTATTGGGGCCTATCTTCCTCTGGCTCAGCCCTGCCAGCTGCAATTCCAGTGCCCAATGAGAGTGCCTCAGAGACCAGTAGACGGCGCTCTTGGATCTGCATTTAGCCATCAAGTCAGAGAAAGTCAAGACCCAGACTATTTACAAACCCTGGCAGAAATCTTGTGAGCTTTCTGTGCTCCCTGCCTAAATGCTATTGAATACATTGCTATGTGGTCTCCTCCCCAATGTCATGGAGATCAGGAAAGGGGGGGGTATTCTGTAGTCCTAACACACTTCCTGTCTTAGGGAGACAGCACTGCTCCTCCATAGATACTGGCAGGCTATCCAGGTGGGAAAAGCTATAAAAGAAGAAAAGCTTTAGTAATAACTAATGCAGCCACCACATCTAAGGACGGGTAAGCTGCAATATATTATATTGTTGTTCTTGGGTTTAGATACGCTTTGATGTTTTTAAGAATTACCTTTCTATGTTACTCTACCTTACAACTTGGGCATTGTTAATGTTTATTCACCTTATTGACAGGATTTATTCAAACCTGTGATTGGCTCACTGCTTCTCCAAGGAGTCTGCACAGAGCCTGCTGTCAAATTACAGGAGGCTTGTTGCATAGAATATGGCATCCCCTGCATGTCTTTAGATTTTGGATTCGGCATCGAGCTGCATCATGCTGTTGATGTCATCAATAAGGCTGAAGAGGGACTTAGTTTCCTATGTGCATTGCCATTTTACTCATCAACAGAGCTTCTAGCTATGGCTAGGTGAGAGCCCACAGAGTTTGGTCACCCTAGATATGTGGCCCCAACATTATTTAGATGATCATTTGTATATCTAAGTCACTTACGGTTCAGAAAGTCTTTAATTTGCTGGATGAGCTGCTGCAGTTCTTTATTAGAGCGCTCCACTCTGCCTTTCGTCTCACTGGCACGATCAAGAGTGGCCTGGGCCCTCTGCTTAGCTTTGTCTGCCTTTGCCTTCGCCTCTGCCACCTGAGTCATCAAGACAGGAGAACATTAGAGAAGACATACAGGGACAAATAAACTTTTTAGATGAAATCACAGGCAGGTCCTCAGTGAGCAGAAAGGTATTATGTATTTTTTTAAAGGACATTTGGGTGTACATGATTACATGTGACCACTTCTGGACTTTGAGACTAGATTGTCCACTGTATAAATACAGCAAAAGGTTTGGTTTGTGCCCATTCATGATTGAATTAATCAAAGGAGCTAGTATGGACAGGAAGCAAAATGGCAGCCATCAGGTCAGGAGCTCATTAGGGTCCCATACGTCTATCTTGGATTCCGGAGCCAGCTGTGAGTTCTTGATCACCCATTGCTGGCCACCTACTGCAAATGTGCCAGATGCAAGGAGACTGGTTCTGTTGGTTTTTGGCTGACTGGTTTTTCATGACTGGATTAATCAACGGAGTCTGCTAGTACAGACAGGAAGCAAAATGGCAGCCATTAGGCCAACTGCAGTTATACTCTGCAGAGTAAAGTCACTCACCGTCAGTGCAATATGCCAAATGCCTGAGAAAAGTTGCAGGGGAAAAGGTCTATAGGAGATGAGCCCATTGCAGAGGAACTTCACCCGGGTTTGAAAAAAGTCAACAAATGCTGTAGCTGCTGACTTAAAAAATGAAACCACATACTTACTAGGAAGCTCGTGCAGCTTGTTAGGGTCCCATACCGCCATGTTGGATTCGGGAGCCAGCTGTGACTTCCTGATTACCCTCAGACAGCAACCTACTGCATAAGCGTCAGATGCAAAGAGACTGGTTCTGTTGGTGTTTCATGGTTGGATTAATCAACAGAGTCTGCTACCACAGACAGGAAGCAATATGGCTGCCATTAGGCCAAATGCAGTTATACTCTGCAGAGTAAAGTCACTGACCGTCAGTGCAATATGCCAAATGCCTCTGAGAAAAGTTGCAGGGGCAAGGGCCCATAAGGGAAGAGCCCATTACAAAGCTGCTGAAAAAACACATATTTACTAGGCCAAGAAGTCCAGCATTCTCTCCCTAGAACCCAAACACTTTGCAGGTTGGTTAGGTCCCATACCGCCATCTTGGATTCAGGATCCAGCAGCGAGTTCCTGACCACCTAGAGCCGGCCACCTACAGCGCATGTGCCAGATGCAAGGGTGCAGGGAGAGCCTCCTGGGACATGTGATACACTGCTGATGTCCTCAATGAGGCCAAAGGGGACCTCATTTCTCTGGCTGTGTACATTGTGCCAGTGTGCCATTCTAATCATGAGCCAGAGCGCATGGTTTTGTACCTTTTGCAGTAAGACATCCACTTCTCCCAAGGCTCTCTGCAGTTCTTCTTCAGCATGCTTGGCGCGGTCCAAAGCGTTGTCAGCGGTTGCAACAGCACCATTGCAGTTCAGACCCCCGCAGAGCCTCTTTCCTTCATCATCTCGGCATCCGGCAACCCCGCAGGGGCTCTCTGAGCAGGAAGCGTCTCCGGAGGCCCCACAAACCTGTGCAATAGAATTGCTGTTGAGTTTGATGCAGTTTCATCCTATAACTGTTATTGTTCAACAAATATTTCCAACTGTTAAAGGGTAACTCCAGCTGGAAGCTAAATGCAAAGATGCCGGAACCGTTATACCCGCCAAAAGATTAATAAAGTCACAGACATCCTCTTCTGTCTACTCCTTGTTTTGTAGTTCAGAGAAGATAACTAGGAAAGCTGAGCTCTAACATTGTATGAGATTTCAGTTCAGTACACGGGAAGATACATGGACACTGAAATTCTAACAGGATCAACAGGAATGTTTAAATGCTCTTAGCCTGAAAAAAGAAAACGAATGCAGACACTACCTCTAAGGTCTGGTAAGCTGCAATACTTGACATTTATATTCTTTAATATTAAATATTTATATTCTTTCATATTTAACCCTTTAATATTAAAACAAAAACAACTTTAAATAAATCTCTAAGACTTAAAAACGTTAACACTACAAACCTCTGATTGCCATGCATTGTGAAAACAAACCTTTTCATTGACATTCCTCAGGTCGAGTGTGTTCACTTTAGCGGTCACATCACCGAGCGCCCGGCGGTTAGCTGCGTTCTTCCGGTTAAACTCAGCCAGGTTTCTCGCTATCAGCTGCTCCGTTTTGTGACGAGTTTTGGCCGAGTCGCTAACAGGGCTGGGGACGTTGATCGCTGACACGTTGGCCAGCTGCTCAGCCTGTCTTGACTGGGAGTAGGAACGGAGGATGCTGTCATAGGCCCCTGTGCCAAGAAACAGCCAGGAATTGTAAAGGGAGTTACAAAGGACTAGTGTGATGAGCCGGGTTTAGTACATCTCACACCGAGAGCCACACAGACACACAACCTCACAGACACACAACCATACAGCCATACAGCTACACAACCTCACAGACACACAGCTGCAGAACCTCACCACCACACAGCTTCATAACTACACAACCACATAACCATGCAGTCACACAACCTCACAATCACAAAGTCTCCCAGCCACATAACCACACAGTCACAAAACCACACAACCACATAACCATGCAGCCTCACAACCATATAGACACAGCCATACAGCTACAGAACCTCACAACCTCACATACACACAACCTCACAACCATACAGCTACAAAACCTCAACGCCACACAGCTTCATAACTACGCAGCCACATAAGCATACAGCCACAGAACCTCACAATCACAAAGTCTCCCAGCCATACAACCACACAGTCACATAACCACACAACCACATAACCATGCAGCCCCTCAACCATTCAGCCACAGAACCTCACAATCACAAAGTCTCCCAACCACACAGCCACATAACCATACAACCTCACAACCACACAGCCACATAGCCACAGAGCAGCACAACCTCATAACCATACAGCCACGTAACCTCACAACCGCACAAGCCCTGCAAATATCTGTGTACATTTGTTTTGTGCAAATAATGCCAAAAAGCAATGTTCTTCATATATTTTTTTTCCTGTTTGGAAAGTATTGTCATTTAATACCTCATTGTGGCCACAAGATGGAGCTGAGGAGCATAGAAAATAAATACATATTAGTAATGAGATTCAATGTTACAAATCAGGAGAACACAGAAGAGAGAACAAGCATATAATGTAACCATTGATATCACCGCAGCATTAGAGGTTACATTTATATACTCGTTCCCTTCAGCAGCCTCCTAAATTGTAACATTGTATCTCCTTCCTAGCACATATCGATTTCCTCTGATCCTCAGCTCCATCTAGTGGTCATAATGCGGTATTTTCCCCATTCAATCTGTTCTATATGAATGAACCTACTAAAGAACATTCAACAAGAACAGAAAATACATGAAGAACATTTGTTTTTGTGCCATTCTCACAACAGTCGGTTAACCTGCACAGAACAAATTTACATGCAGCTTCAATGGACGAATAAGCTGTGCAAATGTTTTATAAATAGACCCAAGTGTCATCTTTTAAATGGTTATCCTGACATTTCTATACCTGAGTTACTTCCCATGCTGAACATCTGCCCTCACCTAAAAAGTTGGAGTTCTTCAGAACGTCCAGCTGATGTGCCCTTTCCTTAGCGGTCATGTTTAAGCTGCGCGCCTCCCTCTCCAGCTCAACAAGATCGTGATTAGCGTCAAAGTTTTCATCTTGCACATTGGTCAGCTGGGTCTCCAGCTGGGTCAGCGCCTCTGTTGACTCGTTAATTCTATTCCTGTTAAAAGTTAATTGTGTAAGTAAATAAACACAGAAGATACATCACCAACCAAATACTTTCCATACACAGAGGGGCTGATTCAGAATTATTCCGCCCATCGTATAGTTGGGGGAACTCCATTTGCATGGCACTATTGCCACTAGATGGAGCCAGGGAGCATAGAAAATTCTTATGAACCTCAGCGCCATCTATTATTATTATTATACAGGATTTATTCTAGTGGCAGTAGTGACATGCAAAAGACATTCGTCCAGCTATACGCTGGGCATAAGATTTATTATTACAGGTATATATATTACGCAAACAATTTACGTTGCGCTTTACCTACTGCAAGTTCACATCAGTCCCCGCCCTCAAGGAGCTTACAATCTAAGGTCCCTATCTCACATGCATACATATAGGGCCGATTTAGACAGGAGCCAATTAACCTTCCAACATGTCTTTGGAGTGTGGGAGGAAACCCACACAAGCACAGGGAGAACATGCAAACTCCTTGGAGGGTTATTCACAAAGCTGGCGAAGGCAGCCGAGTGAATAACCCAGCCGCAGTGAAGTGAGCCGAAAAAAGTTCGGCTATTCACTTCTGGCTTGTACTGCTGATTTCAGCCATACATTGGCTGCCTTCCGTCAGCCGAACATGCGCTGCATGTTCGGCTGAGCCGAAGTGCGAAGGGGTTCGACTCAGCCGATCCAACATCTGGATCAGCTGAGCCGAAGCTCCGGCAGGCGGCAGCTCACTCGCTGCCGTTTGCCCCTATTCATATAGAGGCCGAGCGGCAGTAAGGCTATTCTGCTCCGAGGTATCGAACAGAATAGAAAAACAGTGAAATTAATTTTAAAAAATGTTAAAAAAAGTTGAAAAATGATTAAAAAAATTTAAGAAAATAGGAAAATGTAAATGTAAAACATGTTTTTAATAGTTTAAAGAAAAAACAAAAAAAAACATTATAATAAGAAAAAATGACGGCAAAGATGCTGGCAAAAGAAAAACAATTGGGCTGAGCTAGCAGTGACAGCTATCTCCACCCAACTGTTTCCTATTGGCCGGCACCTGCTAGGGTCTTCTAGCAGGTGCCGGCCAATGAATAACAATTGGGTGGAGCCCAGGTGTTATTGTTTCATGACAGATCAGCATCCCCAGGTCATTTAGCCAACCTTTCTCCACGCTTCGGCTGTCACTTTGGCTCAGTCGAGCCGAAGCATATGCCTTCGGCTCGGCTGCCTTCGGCTGCTGTATGGGCTATTGGGAATAGACCGTACAGCAGCTCTTCCGTTCGACTGAACCGAATGGCAGAGGCAGCCGAAGTGAGCCGAAGCTACGGCTCGATCCTTTGGCTCTTTAGTGAATAACCCCCCTTGTGTTAAGTTTTGGGTTGCATGGTGCAGAACTCCAATACACTGCTCACAGTCTAGCTACATAATGTATTTTCCTACTAACCTTAGGTCATCCATGATTTTCATCAGATTTGTCACCGACTCCACCGTTGCATTTCGGGAGTTGACGATCTTTCGCGCCTTGGCTAGTTTGTCCTCTATGTCCTTAAAGTTTTTCCTGTAGGCCCCAGCTACGCCGGACAGATGGATGTCTTTGCCGCGGCGTACCAGTCCTCGGGTGCGGCTGGCCAAGTCTTGGACGATGCGGTCCCAGTCTCCAAAGCATTGGTGGCAGGGCTGGCAGTCAGGGAACAGTCCAGAGAAGCCGCGGGCACACTGATCGCAGCGAACGCCCGAGACTCCGGGGCGACACGTGCAGTGGCCGGTGCCACGGTTACATTGGGGAGACTGAATGCCACGGCGGTCGCAGTCACAAGCTGCCAATAAGTGATCACAAAGTTAGTGCAATGACCGGAAGGAACGCAGAAGGATGAGAATGATTCAAAGTGTGTCCGGCACTCACCCCTGCACTGAGAGCCGGGGTTCCCCCAGTAATTTTCCTGGCACTCCGTACACATTGAACCTCCGAATCCGGGTCTGCACTGACACCTCCCTGTAAACTTTAAAAAAAAAAAAATCAGCATCAGATAGCAACAATTTAAAATACAAAAGGGAGCTCTTTCCCCCAGAAACAAATTTGAGGCATCAAAATGACAGTCAACACTATTCGTGTATGGAATATCTGAGCAGGAAGTCAGCTGTCCATTGGAAATGGGTTTTGAATGTCGTCTCCATCTTTAAAGTTTTAGATAATTGTTCTTGAGTATTATTTGGGTATCCTGGCCCTTTAAAGTATATGTGAAGTCTTAAGTCTTTTTTAAAGGAGAACTACGAGGTGAGCGCTTTTCACTCACCTCATAGTTCTAGCCGACCTGTCACTGTCACAGGTCGGCTCAGTAGATCGGGAGGTGAGCGAACACATACCGGCGTTCGCTCACTTCTCGATCCTGTCACGGCTCTCTGCCGTGACAGGGGAGGGGCTGGATTCCCCCCTCCCAGCTCCAATCCGCCAGCGCTGACTGGTGGAACGGACGAGGGAGGGGGTGGGTACAGCTGGCTCTGCCTCTAGATAGGCAGAGCCAGCTGTCAGTCACACAGCTGGGCGGATCCCGGCACAATTGTTGGGATCCGCTTCAGCTGCAGCGTCTCAGTATACCGCGAGCAGCAGCTCGCGGTATACATCGGAGTCTCAGTATACCGCGAGCTACAGCTTGCGGTATATTGAGCCTAGGGTGACGGGAGGACACTAGTTTGTGTGTAAGGAGATCTATAGGGAAAAGCTCTAACCTCATAGTTCTCCTTTAATGTCATATTGCATAATAATTATTTTACTTAAAAAAAGAAAAAAAAGGCATTGCTATATTTCATTATTTAATTTTATTCAGTGCTTACGTGACCACATGGCCTCCCTTCCCAGCTACGAGAGGTCTCTCTGCATTTCTTGAGGGTGGGCAGCAGGATGACCTACAGGGCATAGGTAACGTAGAGGGTTTTAAGGGGCCAATAAGAACTAACCTCATTGCAGCTTAAGCTGAAGGAGTTGTGGGGGTCACAGTTGCAGGCGACGCATCCCTTTCCGCTTGCCAGGTTCCAAAAGTTGGGGCTGCAGCGGTCACAACTCTGTCCTTTGACATTGGGCAGACACTGGCACTGGCCGCTTGTTTTGTGGCACAGGCAGTCGTCTCTGGAGGTGCACTGACCCCGATCTGTCCCCAGGAAGTTGCAGACACACTCTGGAAGAGAAAGCAAAGGGCTTGACTTACAGATAGATACAATGAAGAGGACAAGGATGACGGATGATAGAACATCTGTAAAGCTGCTCCTGCTGAGATCAGCCAGAATCTTTAACTTCATATGAAAAGCCAACACATTTCAGGGGTTCAAAAGGTTCATCCTTCATCAGTGCAAATGCTTCAGATGAGGGACTATACAATAGACTGATGCTGTATGTAGAGATCCTGAAGAGTGAATATAAAGAATCTTCTCCAGTGTAGGCTTTTGCTGTCTGTGCCATCAGGGCCGGATTATAAGCATCACAGGCCTGGTGCTGAGGATTTCGGTGGGCCTTTTTATGGAAATGTGAAAGGTCACCAGGGCCCTCTTCCTCCTGTCCGGGCTGTGATTTGTAGTCTCTTTACAGCTTGGAGTCAGTGGTGGCGTGCCAGGGCCGGCATCAGCTGTGAGCCTGGTAGATCTGCCACTGACTCCAGGTTGTAGAGAGACTACAAATCCCAGCAATACATTACACAGCAATGCAGAATACCACCAACAAGGGCTGGATTTAGAGCATTATGGGCCTGGTACTGTCGGTCGGTCAGACAGGAAGCAGCAGAGGCGGTTCTTTAATAAGGAGGCCGATTGCTCCTCGCTGGGGCCCTGCGAGGCCCCAGCTAGCAGCTGCCTAATATGTCTGATTAGAGAGCCGCCAGCGCCTCTGTCTGATTGCGTTCAGCCCACCCAGCCCGGATTGCCATTGGGCATACCAAGGCTATCCGTGCCGGCCGGGCCTATTTTCAGTGGTGGGCCCGGAGCTTGCACTCCAGTAGCCCCTATGTTAATCCAGCCCTGGTGACATCATCACTGAGCTGAATATAGTTTGTGCAGAGAGCAGAACTGAGGTAGGGGCCCAGCAGGCCCCACCCACTATAGTGTTGTGATATATCACTTGCACACCATATGGCGTATGTGGACCTTGAATACCATGCAGTGCTCAAAGTGATGTCACAGGACAGTAAAGATCACCATCACTCACAAAGTCCGAAACATACGGCAAACGTGTTCGTGAAATTATTCAGCTGTCACATGCGTTATACAAAGTAACTGTTTTGGGTCCACACAGGGCCCTGAAAGTTGGCTTTGTATGACGCATATGACTGCTGGATCAAGTCACGAGCACATTTGATATATTTTTTGGTCCTTGTGAGTGCTGGTGACCTATAATTCCATTCACACCCACTACAGGTCATCAAAAGCAGTGCAAGGAGACAATCAGTTTATGTGCTGACAAGAAGCCTGCTGATAGGAGGAGAGAGCGGAGTGACAACAAGCTGAGATCATAGCTGTGCTGCTTCTCATTTCACTGTCCAGTCACAGACTAGGGGGTTGATTCAGGATGACCTGGTCTCAGAGGAAGTGGATTGAATTATGCTGGTCATCAGACTAAAGGCATTTAAAAAAAGGGGAGATCTCTAGATTTATGCTGACTATTGCCACCAAAACCGTTCCTTGTTTTATCTTCTAATGGGTTATTCTTTTTTATTTTGCTATTTTGTCTTCTTTAAAGGGAAATCCCCACTTCGACAGGTGTCACCAGAACAGGTGTCCCTATTGGAAGATTTATCCTCACATCTTGTTGTATTTTGGATTTCCTATCACTTCCTGTGCCGGGGACAACAGTCATCAGAACTAACAGAGGGTAAATCTACCTAGCGTGGACAGAGACAGCAATAAACACCTGGCAGACGTTCTGACCCTTCCCTAATCAATGGCTATAGATGCACACTAAAGGAACGGTGTAAGATCTCTATACACACTGAACGAGTTTCGTCACTTACTCCGGCAGTTGCGTCTTGATGCATCGCCATAGTAGCCATTGCGGCATTGCTCACAAAACCGTCCTTCTGTGTTGTACAGGCACTTGACGCACATGCCAGTGCGGCGGTCGCAGGACCCAGTGTCGGTCATGTCGATATTCTGGTTACACTGACAGGGCAGGCAGCGTCCTCCAGCCTGAAAGGGATTTCCGTAGAATCCAGGAGCGCACTCGTCACATCGCGGTCCTGGGGATCACAATGTCATTATTGATAATGCCGCAACAAAAACATTACTGGAGCCATACAGCCATACATAATAATCTTTCCTGACGCCAAACATGGCAGCATACTGATGGGTATAGCTCCGCCCCATCAGAATGCTGCCATGTATTGGCGTCAGGAAAGGAAAATAGGTAAATATACAATTTTCTGCTTTGACTGTCTTCCGCCAGCTATAAACCTTTCTTGATGCAGCAAGTTATCTCTAACGTCTCTTGTTCCCACTTTGCAGATGACTGAATTTTCTACCATCTTGTGATTAGCTGTTTAGGAAGCTCAGTGTCCTGTCAGCCAATCATAAAACAGCAGGGGAGGAGTTTTGTCATTTGCACTTGGAAAGGGGCTATGAAGGGATGACTTGCTTCTGTTACAATGAACAGCTTAGATTGAAATGTAGGAATGTAATTCAAATCTTGTACCATATACCGTGTTTCCACCAAAAGTAAGACCTAGCGCTATCTTCAGGGATTTCTGTAATATAAGACCTACCCCGAAAATAAAGAAGGTATAACTCAGTGGTGTGGGAAGAGTCAGCTACTGGGTTACATCTCTTGGAGACCCCAGCACCAAGACCTGCCGGAACAGATCTGGACAGGGGAGTGCAAGGGGAAGCCTGGCATTGCTTGGCCTCCATCAGCTATGTGACAGAGAGACAACATAGTCTAAGTTGCCTACAGCCACACGTACATACAGTGCATGAGATCAACCATAAGGATGTAAGAAGCCGTTAGGTGACTCAACAGCCCAGCACCGACCTAAAAACAATTGAGTAAGGTTATAATGGAGAAAAGAAACATCAGATAAGACCCAAAAAATTACCTAAACTTCTATCAGCTCACAATATTGTCACGAGTCCTTCTATAATAGCTTAAAGCTTAACATATGTACCTCTGATGGTCCACTGAGTCTGCCTGCACATTGGTTTAATCGGGCAGCATTTGCGTCCAATAGCTGCTAAGGAGAAGATAACTCTGTGATTCGTACACTTTCAATGTGTGTTGGCAAACCAAGCAGCTGTGATCTGCAAATAGCTGACTGATCCGTGAAGAAGCCGGCTGTGATAAGGCAATATATGACTAGTGGGGGATGTGTATAAAGTTCGGGCAGCTGTGATCTGCAAATGTGGAAAACTTAGGAACTGAGTGCAGAGTTCAGTCAGCTGTGATGGGAACATGTACAACTTGTGGAATGTGCATATAATTCAGGTAGCTGTGGAACATCAATATTGTTCTGCTGAAGCTTGGCCACACACAACCAGACTGAACTGGGTCATTAGGTCCTCTGATCCACTATGAAAACAGAGCTAGGGAGTGCTCATGAAACCTTCTGTAGCCATGCCTGACAGGGTAGGGCCAGTACACAATTGTATTCACCTTGCCTCATTACACATTGACCTGTTACACACAGGATTTTGGCAGCAGCCTGTTGACTTTAATTGCTTCCGACCAGCAGGAGAGCAATTGGAAGCGGGGTTGAATGCTGGTCCTGGATGAGCTCCGACATCTTCTGTCTGTGTAGCTTACAGTAATAGGTGTATGCACAAAACAATTGCAGAGCTACTCGCTCTGCGAATGTCTGAATTTTATGACCACTAGATGGAGCCGAGGAGCAGAGGCATTTTTGCTCCTCACCGCCATTTAGAGGCCATAATAGTCTAAAATCTTAAAGTGACATTAAACCCTCAGATTTTTTAACATAAAACAATACTGTAATTTGTGCCTTACTGTAATCCATGGTTGTTTCCCTTCTCTTTGCTGCTCTTCCTTTTAAATCTCTATCTCTTCTCATGCTGGGCAGAACTTCTGTTTTGCAGCAGACTGCCTTGTCTCTGGAATGGATACATGGTGTCTGTGTGAAGGTTCACAACCTGAGCCAGCACTACAAGAAGAGGCAGTCAGCTGCAAAGGGAAGTTCTCCCCCAGCATGAGAAGACATGAGGATTTAAAAGGAAGAGCAGCAAAGAGAAGGGAAACAACCATGGATTACAGTAAGGCACACATTACAGTATTGTTTTATGTTAAAAAATCTGAGGGTTTAATGTCACTTTAAGTACCGTGGATGTAAGGCTACAACCATCCGATAAGGGAAACCGGTCATAGAAACCAGGTACACCTAATGCCTGGTTTTTCCTCACTTACATGGTCTAGCCAACAACCCAGACAGTATCTAGGGGCTTGACATGACAGCATTTCCAGGAGATCAGCAGCAGAGGCCAATGTCTCTCTTCATGGCTAGTTAAATGAGGACAGTGCATAAAAGGGAACTGCTACATAGTGACCATCACAGTGAATGGCATTAGTAGGAAGAAGCTCCATATACTGGTCCTTGAAGCTGTGACTGGTGAGTAGAGGGAAGGTCACACAATCTGGGACATTAGTGACATTAGTATGAGGCTGAGCAGCTCTCCGGTAGCTTAGTGAATGAAGCGTGGCTCCTTTTGTGCTTCTTACTTCGAGGCCTGAAGTCATTAAAGGATTTTTATAGGCATGACCCAAATGTATCCCTACTCCCTCTTCACCTTTAAATCACGTCCCAGCATTATTTCCTTTTTTTTACCTTGTTCTTGTAGCAAGAAACAACTTTTATAACCCCCCTGTGATGTCATCACCAGGCTTGTAAAATGTTTATAAGAGCAGCTTAAACGGATAAAACATGGGGAAATGTATATGGACTCTAGAGACCTATAGGGTTTCTCCAATCAGCCATAAAACAGAAAAGTCCTCCACTTGTTGACCAATGAGCATTGGTGGGAAATGTTAAGTAAATCTCTACTTAGTTCCTTTGGAATGCTTGGAAATGCTTACTAAGTACAATGCAACTCCAGCCTCAGAAACCCATAGAAAGCTAACAGGACTCTGATATGTGCTACCTATGAGGGAATGGTTCAGTGTCTACACGGCAGGAGTGAGGGGAAAGCCATGCATAGGGAGGTGGCAAGGTCGAGAAGCCGTTTACTCACGCCGGGCCCCTCCTGACCTCTTTACCAGTCCTGGAAAAAGAAATTGTAAAACATGCCCAAAATGAGTGGTGCCACTCAGCACACAAAAGCCTTCACACTGGCACACAACATGGCTGCCACCTCTACTCATACTACGACTTTGGTTCTATAAACAGCTCTACAAATGAACATTGACCCAATGCACGAATCGGCTGGCAGATCCCTCTTTTTATGAAAATGTGCTCAATGCACAAAAAAGGTGCCACCACTGTCAATGAGTGCCACCTCAGTGTACAAAATTGGCTGCCACCAGCGAATGGATCTTGTTTGTAGGGTCACCTGTAAAGAAAGTGTCCTTGTTGCCTATAGTAGCTGGTCACACTCTACACTCTTCAAATGTAGATACAGAATAATTTGGCTGGTATGGACTATGCAGATGCTTTTCTTTTCACTCTATTATGCATGAGGGCATGCAAGAGTGTTGATGTGTAAGGTTTGTAGTTATATATGTACACGGGGGCAGCCATATTTGCCTAAAGAGACATAGTTCCTTGTCCCATTCAGGACAAAGTGACAGTCGCTGTGCAATGGGCCTCAACCCCCTACGTATAAGTGGGTCGGGAGTCTTTCCGTGCCTTTCCTGGTTGTACCTGGCACCAACAACCCAAGTGTCGACTGGTGTTGGACCTAGGGGGATCATTGACATCACTCCCTCCGTCATGTGACAATGTAATGGAGGAGCGAAGGAGAAAACTATAGAGTGGCGGCTATGAATCTACTCGACCTGCTGACATCACATGCAAGATGGCGGCGCCCAGCAGCAGCCTCAGGACTTTTGGATGTCTACACTTAGAAGGCTTTTACAGGTAAATACATTAAATGCACATGTAATCTGATGGGAAGATTTTTGTTGACATGAATGGTCTGGTGACAGGGTCTCTTTAAAGTGAACCTTTGTTAGATTTTAAACTTTTAAAAGGAAAAGCTTCTACTGTGCTCCTCTCTGATTTTGTGTGACTGTATTGATGGGGCCTGACTTTCCCTGACGTCATTGGCTGATACCAACTCTTAATGCATTGTCCAATTAGGACAATGTGGCCTATTGTCTAAGGACTGGGCTACAGAGGCCACGCGAAGGAGAGAGATTGGTGGCTGGGGCAAAAGGTCTTTGGATAAGGGTTGTTGGGTTCTTGCTATTAGTTCTGAGTGATGTATTTATCACCCAAGGATAAAATGGTGGGATTGCCCATGCCGACCCTTCCCTGTAATTTACCCCTTGACCTCACTGCAGTCTCACCTGTGTAGCCCTGGTTGCAATTGCAGATGACCTGCCTTGACCGCGGTTCTTGGTGACACGATACAGCAAAGTTCCGCCCACTATTGGGACCCTCTGGACATGGACACGGACGACAATGATCACCTGACCCAAGTACAGGGTTTCCGTAGAAACCAGGAGCACATCTGCAATATAAAGATTAATAAGGAACCACCGTTAGCACCTTCTCAGAGAGCTGTGCACAGATTCCACAACTTCTCAACACAAAGAAAAATCAGATTATAAATTGTCAGCGACCCGTGATGAACGTCACCTCTCACATCGGTCTCCCACACTGTTGTCTCGGCATTTCAGACAAGCCCCCGTCCTCTGGTCGCACTCCTCCGAGTGGCCGTTGCATAGGCACTTTCGGCAGTTCGGAAAGCCCCAGTGGCCCGGCTGGCAGCGATCACACTTGGGGCCGTATGCACCAGGCCGACAAGGGCACTGCCCATTGTTCTGGTCGCAGAAGCCATGCAAGGATCCCTCCAGATTACAGTCACAGGCTACAAAAACAAAATGTTGATGTTACATGACATGCAGCGAATCATAGAAAAGAATCTCAATTGGTCCCAAGGAACGACAAGTCTCCTTTCAACTCCACTAGAATTATTTAATTTCTCTGCCATTATGTTTTATATCCATTCGCTGTTTTCGCCAGGTGTAAACTTACTTTTGCAGCCGCTAGTTCCAAATCCGTGCGTCCCAGGGGCACATTGGTCGCACCGTCGTCCAATGACATTTGGCTTACATCGGCACTGTCCCCCGTAAGGGTCGCACTCTGAGCTCAGAGATCCTTGAGGGTTACACTTACAGGCTAGAGAAAAATAATAAGATTATTCATTACAAAATAAGTATCTTCCATACAGAGTGCAAGTGTACTAAATACAAGGCATGCAATGCGGAAATTAAGAGGTTCATTTATAAACGTTCATTCCGTTGTGTAGCCCGGGCGTATAGCATTCACATGGCACCAGCGCCCCTAGATGGTGCTGATCAGTATAGGAATTTCCTATAAAATTTTTACTACTTTTATAACTGGGGGTCACTAAATGGCGGACCGTGGTGCGGACACGAACTTAATGACTGTTCTGTCCAGACCACAAGTCAGACCTCGATGAGAATTTTATTCACCAGACCTCCAGAATCTTAAGGCCTCATTCACACGGGAAACGGCCAGCACGCCACGTACAGCTGCGTGCACGGCCGTACCGGGTAGCTCCTGGGAAGGACAGGTGCTGCATGTGATTAGTATGCAGCACCCGTCCTTCTCTATGGGAGTACGCAGCCATATGCCACCCTACGTTCAATCGCCCTGCACGTCCGTAAGGTTGCGGGTGTGCGTACTCGTACGCTGACAGGATGGATCCTGTCTGCGTCCGAGCCGGGACACCCGCACCCGTATGGACCTGCACTTGGGGTGAGCGTAGGGCGGCGTATGGCTGCGTACTACCATAGAGAAGGACAGGGGCTGCATACTAATCACATGCAGCACCTGTCCTTCCCGGGAGCTGCCCGATACGGCCATGCACGCAGCACGGAGCTGTATGTGCCGGCCGATTGTCGTGTGAATGAGGCCTAATTCATTACGCTTGGCTTAAGGGTTTTGTTTTTATTTATGCGACTGTACTTACATTTAAATAATTATATTTATTCACCACAAGAGGGCAGCACAACATCTGATACCCAAATCTGTGAAGCTAAATTGTGTGCAGCCAAACATCATAAACTAATAGGACAAAAATGCTAAAAAGTATATCCTGCCAAAAAACAAAAATCTCTTCTTACTACTAATCTACTCCTAAAGATAAACTCAATGCAGATATAACAGACACATTATAGCAGCACAGTATGGGTAATAGATAATTAAAGCAGAACTCTGGGTAAAATTTATTTAAACCCTTGCTGTGGGGCTTCCCTCGCACTGCAAGGGATAAGTGCAAGTGCATTTATATTCACCCGATCCTCCCAGATGCTTTCTCTTAGGTTGGTCCCCGAAACCTCTCTCCCCCTCTGCTGCACAGGTCTAAGGTCCCTGAGTCAATTAGTTCTATACACAGTGTATTGGATGTGATGACACTGAGGGACATACCATCGCTGCAACGGTGGAGGCAGGCAGGAGGGAGCACTGTCACAGACAGCTGGCTTGGAGGATCGGGTGAATATAGCTTTGTTATTTTTGACCCAGGGCAAAATTGAGTACTTAACCCTTGCAGTGCAAGGCTAGCCCCTCTTCAAGGGTTATGAAAATGTTTGCCTTGAGTAGTTTTTAAATGCAAGCAGTGTAAGTACCTGAATATGACCTGGTATCAGCCTCTTGCATTCCCTGTACAGCAGGACTAGAGTGTTAGAGGAACTAGCAGTACAAGCAGCCAATCACTTCATGTGCTGAGAAAAATCATGCCGATAGAAGGGGAGGTCAGAATGAGAGAGAGATGAGCACATCACTGTGCTGCTTCTCCTTTTACTGTCAAGTCACAGGGTGGGGATGGGTCCAGGATGACGTGAGCTCAGAGGAAGTGGGTTGAATGACTCTGGTTATCAGACTGAGGACATCTAGTGGCAGAAAAAAAGCACTGCGGAGGAAATCTCAGGATTGAAGGTGAATATTGCAGCATGAGCTGGTTTTATTATTGTATCTCTTAACGGGCTATTCCTTTTTGTTTTGTAATCTTTGGCTGGTGTTCTGCCTTAAGTTAAACATTTTGCTGCCCATGGACATACAGGAACATGAATTAGGGTACGTCGGGTGTTCATTTTAGTATTGTACCCAGAAAGTTAAAAAAAAAGACAATGACTAAAGACAGTAAATTTGTATTATATTTCTAGGAGAGTCCCAACCTATCTAAGTGTATGAAGGAGAATCCTCCACATTGAACCAATATTCCTGAGAAGACATTTACGTCAAGTTCCTATGCAGAAAGCATGAGATCACATCTGTCTGGGTTTTTCGAGACTCATTTTAGTTTGTTGTGTATCATAAAAGTGTATCTTTAGCCTAAACCTTTATTAGTTTTTACGATTTGGATCGCATGGGGAACAGTAGAAACACATGCACACATGGCGGCTGCTGAGCTGTGTACAGGAGACCCAACTCATCATCCATCTGGATAAGCTGCTACAGTGAGCTCTCTTTCTTTAGAAATGCTATCCATGCAATATTTCCCACAATCCTCTGTTATGGCATGTGTGTTGCCGGTTCTGCTTTAGGTAGGATACTGACACGGTGAGAAATAAATCAAGGCAACTGGACTTGCTGTATTTTTATTGAAGATGTTTTTCTGGTCATCCAACTAGCTTTCTCAAGAAGTATTGATCAATTGCCATTTCTGAATAGAGAAAGCTGGTCGGATGACCAGGTCAACCTCTTCAGGAAAAATACAGCAAGTCCAGTTGCCTTGATTTATTTTTTACAGCTATACCATGACTTGGATGAATGAGAACCTTCACAGATATATGGACACAGAAGACCGGAAATGAGCGCCTTGGATAATTGCTCCACTCCCTGAACTCACCAAGGGCACCATCATGGATGACGGCAGACATGCTGGTGATGAACTTGGTGCACACCTCATTGGTGGATGATTTCAACACATTGATATTGCTGCTGTGGCAACGGAATCTCTCAAAGGCTTCTTTGCGTTGAATGGAGGCCGGGTCACCAGCAATGAACATCTCCAAGGAGGAGTAACGAGGAACGAGGACCAGCTAATGCATAACAAAAATACATAATTGACTTAATGCCAAATACAATATTTATCTACCAACAAATGGCGTTCAGTTGTGAACTGGCAAACTTTTTTTGGAACGGCACGAGTATGGTTCAGACATAAGAAGTCCATACTGTTTTCATGTCAAAGACAGGTAATGGACAATGACAACAAGTGATCAAAAAACAGTAGATCTCTATCACATGCACTATGTATATATATATGGGTGTCAAAAGGAGACTGTCACCTGTTTCAAGGGACATCTTACAAATGATACATTACATCATCGCATTAACAAGACTCTGTCCTCACCGAATCTATAAGGATGTTGGCTCCTGGTACCTTCTCCCGTAGGTTGTACTTGGTGAAATCCAGGCGGATGGTGTAACTGACCCCACGCTCCAAGCAGATTGGCTGAGCCAAGGCAACATGTCTGTAAAGAAAGGTGACTGCAATTTACAATCCAACTGTAAACAAACAGTGCCCTTTAAATGGAAAATAGTGTATTTTTTGGTATCTTTAAGTTTAAAAAAATCATAAACCAAAATTTTATGTCGTTATTTTATTATTTGTATAAAATGCTTATTTTATAAATAAATCTTTAAATATAGGATTCCATGCTTTGGTCTGTCTAATAAGAAAGCCCAGCACTAGCTCTGCACTTGGTAAATGTTTTGCCAGAACGAGGACCTAGATGGTGCTGTCTCTGATAGGAGATATGGAGGGGTCCTTCCTTCCTCCGTGCCATTTGGTAAACTTATTCAGTTGTGGGTGTATAATTGTATAATCTGAGATCCCTTTACCAGTATATCTATCTATCTATCTATCTATACACACACACATACACACAATAACTGGACCCTTTGCCTTTACATTTAATAAAAGATTTGAAATGCAATAACATATCTTATCTTCTCTCTATTTTTGAGATGGGCTAGACACATCCAAGAGTCCTGGCCTCCCATGAATGATAAGCTGTGTCTTGCCTCGAGCTTGTATGAAGATCCCACAAGACATAAAATATTTGAGGATACACAATCAATGACACAATGCTGTCCTTGTACTTGCTTATGTCTTTCAGAGTTTCAGAAACACATCTACACATGGAAGCTGATTCTATCTGAAAAGGCCGTTACAGCGAGCTCTCTTAGATACCCATAGGTATCCATGTACTTAGGTACACATACTCTCACACAACTAATCATCCATCTGAAAAGGCCGTTACAGCGAGCTCTCTTAGGTACCCATAGGTATACATGTACTTAGGTATGCATACTCTCACACAACTCATCATTCATCTGAAAAGGCCGTTACAGCGAGCTCTCTTAGGTATACTTAGGTATACACTCACCGGGATGTAGTCGGAAATGACGCGGTCATGACATCATCAGCGGGGATGGTGTTACCACAGGAACTGCTGGATGGAATAGGCCCGGGCCTGATAACTGTTATCTTCACCTGCTGCCATGTCTCTGGAAACTATGTAAAAGCACAGCAATGGATTAGAATTGGAAGGGACGCACTCGGGAGCTAACATATGAAAATGTTTTGCATATGATTTAAATTTGCTTACCTTGGGCTCATAGCGTATGATGGTGTCATACTCCATTGAGAATGGAATATTGCTGATCTGAAATTCTATAACTCCACCCTCAGGGACCAGAGCAAATCCAGGTCCAGTCCATGTAGCGGGGCGGCCCACCATACGTTCCCGCTCCAACACAGAGCATCCCTACAGAGAGAAATTGGCACAGCCATTAATGCAGAATAGCTTCCCGGTTCCTCCAGCATTTTCGAGCCTTACTAACAGAAACCCAGAGTGCTTATGTTGTAGCTTGCTGCTTCTACAAGGAACAGGATGTTCACTCTGATGGTGAGGTTTTTTTTCATTTTGAATGGAGCGGGGAAAAGGTTTGACCTTCTGCCAAGTTTTTATTGTGGTCTGAGTCCCCATCAGGGGATTCACCCTCTCTATCTGTCCTGGGGACCAATGTCAGTGAGAAAGGAAGCAAGGGAAAATCCAAGATATTAGAGTTGACTTCAGAACAAGAAGTGCGGAGAAATCTTCCAATGGGGATAATTGTTCTGGGAACAACTGTCTAAGAGGGAAATTCTGCTCACTTTGGGAGATTCCTCTAACTTCCTGTTGTGCCTCTGGGACAGGAATTAAGGGGAAATTTCCCCAATGTAACAAAGAAGGGAAAAAATGTAATTGGCAGGGGATTTACCCTTCCAGTGTCTATCTAAAACTAAAGCCCTCAGGGGCAGGGCCCTCCTTACCATCTTGTCTTGAATTGTATTGTGATTGCAATGTCTTCCTTATATTGTAAAGCGCTGCGCAAACTGTTGGCGCTATAGAAATCCTGTATAATAATAATAATAATAAAAAAACTATTTGGGCGATACATGCACGTTAATAAATAACATAGAACCAGATGAATCCTGGCAGCACATACTGGCACAGACAAAGTGCAAAGATTACTGACCCCAAACAGCCAATCAAATGTGCTCTTTGTCTTAACTAGCCCATCTACCTAATATCTTACAACCCCCCACCCCCAATAGTGCAGTACTTGTTACCTGTCGGAGTAGTGCAGACTCAGCCTCATAGGTGTAGTGATCCAAGTTGATACGGTAGGAGCCGGATTTCACCATATTACACTGTCTGCCGACCATGTTGTTCCTGCAGCGGCACTGGCCTGTCTCTGAGGAGCACCTAGTCACAAAATATGAATAAAAAAGTTATTTTATGTACTTTTATTCGATGGTTATGCCACAATAAAAAAAGACCCCCCAAATGTGTATTGCATACTTTATATTTAAATCCATTCTTTAGCTCAATGATGGTGAACTTACTTGATATAAGGGGCCATAAGTATGGCGCCCTGACACCACCAAAGAGACGGTCAAAATGCTACAAGAGATGGCTGGGTACTGGGGACAGTCATAGACTGGAGACATGTTCAACGGGATTGCTTCAAAATCACTGCTATTATTACAGCCCATTTACAAATCAACACCTCCACATTTGAGCTCCCCATTGTCCCCTAATTACATGACCCTCGGCCGTAGGTTGGGCACCAGGGCTTTAGCTAGGTAGCATCACCCCAGTGAAAAGTAACAAACCTTTCTAATGTCTGTTTAGGGGCTAGGTTATAAAAAACCCCAGAAGAAATGATCATTTGTAAAGTGTAAGTTTTTGCCTATGGATCAAGTCAGGCCATTGGGGGTCTCATAGGAATTCCAGCAGCCAATGAATGGGCTTAATGAATGGGCATGCCCAAGTGAACTGACAAGAGTGTTAAAAAGATCCCTTTTCCTATTCATGTAGCAGGCCGGTGACTTGCATATCTCATGCCACCAAAACACACAGTTCCCAGTGCCAAATATGTTGATTTTGGTCTTCGGAGAATTTTGAACTGTTTAATCCCCAATAGTTATGTATATACTAAAGCATGGGTGCCCAACCTCCGGGCACCATATGCTTATCATATTGCAGCGTGATGCCCTGTGCTTTAAATGCATGGCTAGATTTTAGACTTACTGGTTATCCCATGCACCTCCGACATCGCAGTCACATGACCGGCATCCATGAAGGTCATTACTAAGCGCCCAGTATTCCGGCTAGAAAGAAAAGGATTTCATTAGTAACGCTTATTTTCCACGTATAAGTCTCTTACAAAGAGGTGCGAGATGGATCGGACGTTGTGCGATAATATTCAGTGATAATTTACCAGCTGTAGTGTAGGTTGGCCAACTGATACCTAATGTCTCTGAGCTTCTGCGACACAACAAAGACTATGAAGTTTTTTTGTTTTTTGTTTTTAATCAGAAGTCAACTTTATTGAACATATGCATGGTACAATGGTACAGGGAGGCTCAGCCTCAACATCATGACAGCATCCCCATAACAATCTGGGGTATATGGTGCATATATATAACATAGTGCATACAATATGGATAGGAGGAGGGGGTTGATCGTCTCAACGAGAAAAGATGGGAACCGTGGCACGTCACGGAAGTCAACTTTGGTGAAATTCGAGCATGAAAAAGAAAAATTATCAAGGAGCAAAAAACTATGCACCATAGAGGCAGGTTGGAAACGTAGCGTTCACGTCAAGTTGTTTTGTACAACATATCTATCGGATGGGATAGAGGCACTTACATTTGGCATCATTTCTTAATACACAAAAACAGATGTATATGGCTAGGTAAGTGGTCGATGTCTAAGAGAAGAGTAAGGATAGGGAGGGAGAAGGCAGGCATGGAGCGGGAAGGCGGGCATGAGGGGTG